TTTGAGCTTAAGGTCATGAAACATTTTGTGAGCTAAGGTCACAAGACAATCAGATGAACTAAATGTCAAAAAAATGGAACACAGAATGTCTCACCTTTGTCAGAGGAAGAGGGAGCTGTCATAATCGGGTAGGAAGGAAAACAATGAGAGTTGATTCCTTAAAGATTGTGGACTATCATTTAGATTAGAATCCTGGGAACCCTCGCATATGGAAAGTCCACAGCCACTCCTCTCTTCCACTGGCTCCATCAGGGTTCATAAGAAAGATTAGAGGCAGGGCAGGATACCTTAGAGAACACCTAGGTGGCACAGACAAGCTCTGAGCATGGAGTAGGAGTACTTGAAGAAACCCATCTGCTTTCTGTCCCTGCACTGTGTGAGTAGAAGGAAATGAGCAGCAGCAACCAGGATCACAGACCTGCCTCCCACAGGAAACAAAAGGCTTCTGCCTCTGAGTGAGGAGAGAGACACCTGCCATGTCCCAGATGTTACTCTGCTTTGACAGGAGGCAAAAGCTACCAGCTGCTGGGGGTGGAACCGGAAACCCTCAGGCACTCTGGTCCCAGGTAAAGGATTCGTGGCCTCTGGAGAGAGATGGAACTTGCCTACATACCCCCATCCTACACTGACACCAAGGGGAGGCGCAGAAAAACCTGCTCTTGCCCAAGAACCCCAGTGATCCACAGGAGAGGTCTGCTGCTGCGGGAAGAGGAGCAGAAACCTGGCTCATGCCCCAAACCTTCTACTCCACAGATATGAGGTGGAGCTCATCTGCCACAGCTGATAGGGCCAGGAAACCACCCACCCTCTAGGCCTGTGCCATCCAACTGCTTTCTGTGGTGACCGTAATGTCCTAAAGTGGCTAATGTGACTGAAAAGTGAATTTTTAATTGTATTTAATTAAAACAAATTTCAATAGCCACATGTAGCTAGTGGTTAGGACACTGCAGCTGCAAACCCTGAGTTGAGTTAGAGGCAGAGGCTGCCTAGCACCAGGGTAGACGGAGAAATGCTGATAAAGCCACAACCCTGAGACTCAGGTGCAGAGCACCCGCCCAACTAATGCTAGAGCAGGGGCCCTAAGAAAGCCCTCAGGACTACTCAAGCTTCATGCCTAGTAACAAGCACCAGCAGGCTATTGCCAGTGGAGGGACAAAGAGGGAGAGAGAGAAACACGTTCCGTGGCAAAGGTACACAGGATCTGCCAAAACCCGGTGGTGAGGAAGGATCCTTAAGAAAAGCTTGCTGATCCTCCAGGCCTCACATGAAGAACACAGCAGCAGCAGCCCACCCCTGGAGAAGCATGTAGGCTGTGGTGACCACAGCAACAACAAACCGCAAACCTAGCTCAGCTACTGACCAGAATGACTCAAGCCCTGACTCACATTAACAGCCTAGCAGAAGAAGAGATGTACCTGTTTCCAGGCATAAGCAATATTTACTTTAGTCTCCAATTAGACTTAGAGACTTAATTTCTTTTACACACACACACACACACACACACACACAGACACACACACAGACATTCAATCAAAAATTATGTGACACTTAAAAAGCAAACTCCTGCAACTTTTCCATTGATTATCAAGAGAGAATAACAAAAAACAATGAGATCCACAGACAGCCCTGATGGTTGAAATACCAAAGAGAGAATTAAAAATAATTACAATTAATATGCCAAAGAATCTAGTGAAAAAGGTGGGTCACACAGATGAACAACTGGCAATTTCAACAGAAATATAGAAACTATTTATTTTCTTATTTTTAAATGTAAATTTGAAACTGCAATGTGTTATGGCCCAAAGGTAATAGTATCTTTTTTGAACTGAGTCTTACAGGGTCTTACCCTGTCATTTAGGCTGGAGCGCAGTGGCACAATCATATCCAACTGCAGCCTTAAACTCCTGGCCTCAAGCGATCCTCCCTCCTCAGCCTCCCAAAGTGCTGGGAATACAGAAATGATCCACTGTGCCAGGCCTTATAGAAACTACTATTAAAACCCCAAGTGAAAATGCTAGAGATGAAAAACATATTATCAAAGATACACTCTTTCAATAGGGAGACTGAGTGTAACACAGGTAGAAAAATCAATGATATTGAAAATGTCAATAGAAATTAGAAACAGAAAAACACTGAGCTTTTTTTTTAAATGCAAAGGAAACAAAAAGAGAATAGGGCACTCAAGAGCTCTGAAACAATATCAAATACTCTAATGTGTAACTGGTGTCCCATAAGAAGACAGAAAGAAAGGGACAAAAAAAATTTTTTTAAATGGTCAAGAATTTTCTGAGACATAACTACAGATAGCAGACTACAGATCTAAGCTGGAAAAATACAATGGAAAAACATAAATAGGCACAACATAGTCAGAAGCTGAAAACAAAGTATAAAGAAAATATACTGAAGGAAATAAAATACCAGCCTTCACCTCAAACCCTGGTCTCTCCACGAAACGTCAATCATTAATTGGATTTTAGCAAAATTATCTCCCACATCTGGGGCTCTTACAGCACCGTATAGACAATAACTGGGGTAAATGGCTTAGTGTTCCTTCTAGAAGGCATTCGTGCAGTCACCACAGAATGCAAACCTGGGGGTACAGGCCTGACATGGCATCTAGGGTCATGTCACCAAAACTTCCTGAAGATATACCTTACTGAATTAAATAGCTTTTCTTTTCTGTTATTATACTGGAATTAAAAACTTTTAAAATAGAACCAAAAATGTCTTGGAATTACTGCTTTCTAAATGTATATGCAATGTGAATGCAAAATTGAAGCTGAAATGTGCTATGGCCCAAATGTAATAGTATCTTTTTGAACTGAGACTTACAAAATGCAAATAACACTGAGAAAATATGACTTTGCAGAGGTTGTTCCTCTAGAACATTTTAAAAATACCTTTTGAGTTTTAATAGTAGTTTGATTTTAGTAGCTGATAACATTAGTAGGCTTTTAAAAATTTGAAAGTTTTTGAAAATCTGGACTAATATGCAAAGGTTATGTGTATTTATTCAATGCTTAGGAAACAGAATTTTCAAAATAAAACTGAGTAAAATATTTAAAAATGCATGAAAAAGGAACACTAAAGAAGAGTTTGAGGTAAAGCCCAAAGGGCTTACACATATTTACCCTGTTTCTTGGAGGGCACTCTCTACTCATTGTGGGGGATCCTGCCTAAAATCCTGGTTGCTTCTGGTCTGTGCATTCTCTTTAGTTCCCTTAGTCAAAGCCTAGCATTTGTTTTCTTTTTGTGCAGTTAATGTCAGAAAACTTCTGACAAGGGGCCATCTGCAGCTGAATACTTTGGAGACAGTATTGGGATCTTTAAATCGAGGTTCAAAAGTTCAAAAGAATACCGGACTTTTAAATTTGGGGTCATTACTATAATTTGTTTATTCTGGAAATATACCAGAAGATATATGAGAGAGTAGAATTAGAAAATATTCAATTAAATAATAGGCAAAAAATTGCAAATGGTCTCTGTAGTCAGTCTCTCTAGGTTCAAATCCTAACTTTGCCACTTACTTGGTTTGTGCCTCGATTTCTTGATTTTCAAAAAGAAATCATAACAGCTACATCATAGAGTTGTTGTGATGCTTAAATGAATTAATAAATGTGAAAGCCTAAAGAGTACCAGCATGTAATTAGTGGTTTTTATATTTTTATTCATCTTAACTATCTGTATTATTCTCATTAATAACTTTATATTAAAACAAAGTAAAAAACAAATTAATTGAATCGGGAACGTCTGTCTCACCCTCCAGAGAAAACCCAAAAGATATTTTTTCGTGCAGTGATTTAAACAACTTCTTCTGTGTGTAATCATGTCTATCTTCAGTAATCAAGTAAAACAACATCATATGTAAATTTCTGTCAATATCACTGGTTTTTATTAAGAGGAACCCAAACCTGTGCCTATAAGTTGGCATCTCCTAAATAAACATATTATTGATACATTTGTGACAACTGCTCACATATAAAATAACCTCAGAGGATAGCTTTTATGTGCTACAGAACTGAAGGCTGTGGAAGGCTACAATATTTTTATACTGGGAAGAATATTATTATTATATGTTTTCTCCAAACTTTTTATTTTGCAGCTAAGGTGAAAAGTAAAATTCAGGAGAGGCTTAAATTAGAATTGTTCTAAAGGGGATTAGGTAAGTCTCCTAAAATGTGAAAAAAATACATCATTTACATACAGACCATAAGCACTTTAAAAGGGCAAACTGAAAAGGATCTGTCAAAGATAATGCTGTGAAAAGCTGTATAGAGCAAAATCAAGAACAGCTATTTAAAACAATACAAAATTTCCATGTGGAAAGTTCATTTAAAGTGTCTAATTGTGCCTTAAATGGAATGGTGAGCTACGAAATGGTGGCTGATGGTGAGTGAGCTGCTTACATTTTTTTAAAAGCATGTGAGACAGATACTTGAGTCTGGAAAAGGCATAGATAACAGAGTGACAATAGTCCAGTAAAAGTGTTGACAGCAAGGGAACAAAGAGCACCCTGGGAAGAATGAGCCACAGCACTAGGCATGCCCTGTGAAGCACTGAGTCACACTTCCTTATTTTCCACCTGTCCTGGTAATTTATCTGCAATGTCTTTGCAAATATACTTGCTCAGAAGTATTACTTAATGGCCAAATGCTGACAAACTTGCAGACTCTATTAAAAATCTTCCTATTACTGTGAATATTCTGTAAGAAAAACCTTTAAATATTGTAGTATTAAAATGTTAAAAATCTATTTATCTGGCAATCATTTGTAACTCCTGAAAATTGATTCCTGATTCAAAGACTAGAAATCCTTTTGGGATTTCAATTTTTGTTTTCTTTTTTTTTTTTCATTGTTTTATCTTTTAAAGATGTCTATCATAAATATAGATATATAACCTCCAATATATTGCCTTTATTTTGTAAAAAAGTTAAATATATTTATTTTAAAGTAAGTATAGTTTTTATTATCAATATTAATGAGACAGATTATAATCTTACCCTGGTGTGAGTACGAATGTGCATCTTCAGTCCATCATTTTTACTGAATCCTTTTTCACAGTAAGGGCACTGATAGGGACGTTCACCTATGAAGAAAGCAAGCCTCCATGTCAGAAAACGGTAAAGTAGTAGAACCAGTCCTGTGCTATCACTTCTCACACACTCAGATCCTGGCCACCACATATGCCCTGTGCTACTTCAAGAAGTGGCTACAGGCACAGAAGGGCAGACCCAAGCATGGGCCATGCAGGACAGCAATGAACTGTGGCCTCCCCTCCTATGGAGAGTGCACAGAGCTCAGAGCACTTCTAATACTCAAAAATAAACAATATTTACCAGTAGCATATTTGCTGCATATTTCTTTTAATAGTTGAGCTCAAATTAAATCTCCTAATTTTATGAATTTGTTAAAAATATTTTATGTTACTCACTTTGCTCTGTTACTGTGCTACTCCTGAAAAAGGAATTATTTAACTGATTCAATGACACCTTGCTTTGTTTTTTGTTGTTGTTGTTTCATATAAATGAATTTGTCTTAGTTAAGGCTGTGAGTTTCAAAAGAATTTCGTGAAATTGGTATATGTTCAAAAGGACCATTGGTAGTTCAGCTAAATAATAATTAATCCATACTTCCTAATATAATCAAATACCTCTCACCTAGAGGCTATAATTTAGAAAATAGCCAAGATGTTTTTCATGACAAGCAAGCACATGTATAGACAGCACATTCTTTAAAAAAATTCTACTGTGAAGTGACAAAATGTAATCTCCAAAAGGGATCTGAAGATGCCCTCTTGTCAAAGCCCAATAATTTACAATGGATCGTAGTTCAAAATCACTAGCTCAAGATCACGAATTGATTTACTCTTTCGTTTAGCAATGTACTTTCACGGCAGGATGCTAGACCCTGGTTGCAATCAAAGATTAACACGATAAAATATTTTCCTTCAGCTAATGTAAAACTTCTGTCTTTCCTTCCCTTCAGAGCCAGTCCTGTTAACTAGCAGAGTATGTTCTTCCTCAACTCTCTCATGTTCCACTTGGTTCTGATCCTCATTCAATCTAGATATCATATGCATTATCCCAGTCAATTCTCTTACAGGGTCAACAATGCCCCTTGTTGGTTGATCCAGTGATCACTTTTCATCAAGGCCTTCCTTGAGCCCCTCTCCCCTGTCCCTGACACTGCTTCATGAAATGGACAGTTACATTCCTGGGTCTCAAGGATGGCCCTGTTGCATAATGGCCTTACATTGTTCTCCCAAACTTTGATTCCAGCAGTAACATCATGTGGAAGCACCTACAGTGGTGCCCCTGCCAAGTGGAATTTTGCAGCCTCTCCTCCTTGGGGAGGAGCACTCAGAATTCTCCTTTTGGACCAGGCACTGTAAAATGGTGACAAACACCGAAAGTAGCAAGAAACTAAAAACAATCACAGCACAAATAGGAACAGGACCCTTAAATGAGCCATCCATACTTGCCAACTTCTCTGAGACAAAATCAACCTTTGCACTAGGTAAGCTGACCAAGAATTATGATCCTTAGGATCATTTTGACTCTAGGAAGGTGTGGCTTTTCACAGTCAGTACAACAAAGGCTAGGTAACATTTAGGACAATATAATCTTATTTTAACCCTAGGTTGATTATACATGCTTATCCGAATTCCAGACGTCTATTGAGCCCCAATCTCCAGGTACAGATATGTCTAACAGGTACCCTCCTTTGCATATCTCACAAACAGCTTAAATCGGCATGCATTGTTTTGAATTTGTGGTATTTATCCTTTGGTCTTGTGCATGCTATATATCTGTCCTGATTTGTTGTACCACATTCACCTAGTTACCAAATAAAAAACTTGGGAGGCATCCAAGATACCCCCCACTTTTTTAACTCACTTCTCCTTCCATCCAGTCTCTAAGTCACAATGATTTCACTTCTCCGATATTTCTAGAATTTTTCTATTTCAGGATGATGATAAAAATGAACATCACAGTACTTGCAGTAACAGCATCAGCAGCAATAGTAGGAGTACAGCAGGAGTTATCATTTATTGAGATCCTAATCATTTAACCTTGAATCACAAAGGAAAAGGACAAGCAGAAAACAGCAGAATGTGACTGCTAAATGCTGGTAGCTCCTTTGTCACACAATTCCCATAATTTTTCATTTTCTTATTCATAAAGTATTAAAAGTCATTTATTAGATTTTTCAAAGTTTATTTTACTTTAGTGAAAGATAGTAAAGAATGCTAAAATGATTCCTTCATCTTTATTAACAATGAAATCCATCAAATCAAATCTATATTAGGGATAAAGCATGGTAAGAATAGTAATGTACTCTACACTTATGTAAAACTATTTTTCTAGCTAGCCTAAGATAATTTACTATTCATAGCTATTCTCTTTGTATCACATAGCTTTATGCATGGTTTTGTTCTCCAAACAGCAATAGAATAGCTAGCAAACAAAAACAAAAGACTTGCCGTCATCAGGTAAATAATTGTATGTTAATCCTAATGTAATATACCAGGTTACTATTCCCTTTCATAGTAGCCAAAATCCATCAACAAAGAAATATAATTAAAAACTAGCAAGGAATTTTAAAGAAGGAAACATAACGTCCATTTCTGATTTTACCTACTGTCATAATATAGGAATTCTGTTCAGAGACTTAAAAAGGCTAACTTAAGGCATAGCTTTTTAAATTCTTTTTTGGAATGTGATTGTCCTGGGTTTGAATACTGCTAGTCTTCCTTCCAGCTGTAACTCCAAGAAAGTCATCCAACCTCAATGAACCTTTGAAAATTGGATAAATTATACCTATCTTATGGGTGCAGTGACCATATATCCAGCTTTGTCTAATGTAGTCTCAGTTTGTGCCTGTTATCCCAGAATAATATAGTAATAGCTGGTTAATTTTACAGTCAACTTAACCTAGTCAACCAGCTGCCTGGCCAGATAGCTGGTAAAACATTTTTTCTGGGTCTGTGAAGGTGTGTCCAGAAGACATGAACATTTGAATCAGTAGACTGTGGAAAGAAGATTCACCCTCACCAATGTGAGCGGGCTTCATCCAATCCATTGAGGGTCCAGATAGAACAAAAAGATGGAGGAACAGTGAATTAATTAATTCTCTCTCTGTTTTCCTCTCTCTTCTTCCCTCCCTCGATCTCTCTCCTTGATCTGAGATGACATCCATCTTCTGCCCTTGGACACAGAAGCTCCCAGTTCTCTGGCCTTTGGACTCTAGTACTTACATCAACAAACCCCTGCTCCTGGTTTTCAGGCCTTTGGCATTTGACTGAGTTTCATGATTGGCTCCCTTGGTTTGCAGAATTTCAAACTCAGGCTACATTATACCTCTGGTTTTCCTGGGTCTCCTGCAAATGGCACATCAGGGGACTTCTTGGCCTCTATAACTGTGTAAGCCAATTCCCATAGTCAATCTCCTCACATATAATGTACCTATACATACCCTATCGGTTCTTTTTCTCTGGAGAACCCTAATACAATATTACTCCCTTTCACTCTCATAAGTTTCTCAACTGGGACAATAGATATATGGTCACTTGTTATGAATGGAACTGTGCCCTCCCACACCAAATTCATATGTTTAAGTCCTAAACCCCAGTACCTCATAATGTAACCTTACTTGAGAATTCGGCTGTTGCAAACATTATTAGAGTAGTGTGGGCCCCTAATCAAATATGATTGATGTCCTCACAAAAAGACAGCCTTGTGAAGACAGACACATACAAGGAGAATGCCATGTGAAGATTGGAATTATGCTGCCACAAGCCAAGAACTATCAGAAGCTAGGAGAGAGGCCTGGAGAAGATCCTTCCCTTGCACCTTCAGAGGCAGCATGGCCACGCAAGTGCCTTGATCTCAGACTTACAGACTTACTGAGAGACGACACAGTTTTACTGTTTAAGCCACTCAGTTGGCGACATCTTCTTACAACAGCCTAACAAATTAACATAGGTCTTCTACTCTTAATGGTGGCGATTATTCTTATCACTGATGTCTACACATCTGCTGCCCATGAGGCCTACACAAACCACTCAGAGTAAAAACTGGCACCTCTAGATGACTGGTATTTCTGCCCCATCCCTCACAACACTGAGCCGACAAATCTGGGAAACTTGGGTAAATACAACTCCATTCATTCATTCTATCCTAGAATGTACTCCAGCTTTAAAGTGCATCACCATGTAAATGGCTTTTATAAGCAATTTATTTGAAAACTATAGTGTGTGGTCTGCAAATCAGTTTAGACTCTACATTAAAGTGCTACCCTCTTGGCTGGAGGATGTTTAGGGCAATCCCGCCTCTTTTTTGGACTACAAGGACAAAGTTATCCGCTGTCCCACACAATCTGAACCTGAAGGTTACCTGTACAGTCAACATGTTAATAACTACTAAAGTCATTTTCTTAATTTGCATATTAAAGATAAGTTGTTATTAGGTTTTCTTCACATTATGCATATAATATTTTCCTTCATTATTTCCAATTACTGTGAAGAATGTTTCTAAGAAATATTTTCATCTACACATAAAATAATCCTGAGGAAAACAAAAACTTACCTTTAATTTTAGTCAACACTCTAAGAATACAGGTCACTGTCAGTACATGGGCTCTGATGTACAATATGATCCACATCTAAATAACTACTATTTTTTAATATCTCAGGTAGATTTAGACACTATCTTTATTTTGCTTAGGCTAGTCACAGTATTCAAGTTCTGACTAACATGTAAATTAATTAATCTAAAAATTAGGCAAAAAAGTAGCTAAAAACAAATCTAAAGGGGAATAATAACAAGCTGAAATTTATAGAGTCTATTAGGTTCTATTCTACCGTTCAGAATGCTTAATGCACATTAGCAATTTTAATTCTTGCAACAATATTATAATCTAAGTATTCATATCCCTAGTTTACAAATGAAGAAAGTAAGGCACAGAAAGGATAAGTAATTTACTCAAGATTACATAGCTTCTTATATAGCAGAGGCAGAGTTTGAACCTACTCTTAACCTCATGCCATCACATAAATTAGTAATATGGCTAACATTTTGTATAAAT